ACTCGTCTAGGTGTAGTTGGATAATAATAGTATTTATTGCAATACTCTTTGAATCATGATATTATCTTAGCAACATTTTTAAATTCCAAATGAATTTCTAGACCACTTCTTAAAATACTCAGCAACTGAACTTTGAATATATGTGATTGTAAAAAGAGGAAAGCATTCAACATTTGATCAACTGAAAATTCTTTTAAAAAATTTGTCATTTCAGGTGTGTTCAGATCATAACATTCTTTTATATGAAACACATTGACTGCATGCAAATAAGGTATAAAACATTGAACCATAGGTAAACATTATATTTAACATAGGTAAACATATTATCATGTGATATCGATGCTGAGCATAACAGAGGCTGTGTTTCTCACGGATAAATTGTTATTCTTATAGACATCATATTTTGTAAGACCAAAGTTATTTTGGCATAGATCTACAAAACAAATGTGCCATCTTCTATGGTGAGAAGGAGTAAAATGTCGTTGGGGGTCATTTCCCTCTCCAACAACATTCCCTTTGATTGTATGAAAAATATAGTGGAAAAACGACCAAACAAACAAAACAAGCAAATTTATACTAATTTATTAATGACAGTGAGACAGTCTGTTTCTTGTTTACCTTCTCAACTGTGCTCACTTTGGGATCTTTACGCCTGAGAAATCATTTCGCATGCGTCAAAGCCTGCAATTTATTTTTATATTGTTCGTAGAGCATTTCAACTGATGTTAGATGAACTCAAGTAAACCCAGAAAGTTAATTGGTTCTGAGAACGATTTAACACTGAAAAGGAAAATTACATGTGTCTTACATCAAGTACCTGATGACGAAGAAAGTATACAACATGTGGAATATGTCGTGAGATCGAGCACTGCACTATGTATCGAAGTGGTTTGAGAATGGTGAATGTTGATTGCGTTTTACAATGTTTTAGGCGGCAATCATCCATCGTAGCACGAAGGTGTATATACAGGGGAAAAGGCGGTGGGATAAGCGTGTTTACTACCCCTCAAAGCGCGGATGTTTTCGTAGCCTGTTTGAACGAGGAAGAACGGCTATTGCTTCGTGAAGCTCTAAGAATACATGATCAAGCAGATGTAGACACAGGTAGTCTGAAATTAACGAGTTCTAGCCGAAAAAATTGGAATATTGTCTCATAGATTATATCTTTGCTTTGCTCAACATTGTTCACTGGTTACTTACGCTCATCGACATGTTGATGATATTATTTTTCTTCATGTTTTTTTGTCTTCCATGTGTTCAATAGGAAAGGAAAACTCAGATCCTCCTTCGGTGAAACAGTTAAGATTAGGTACTGTACTGACATCTGTAGAAAAATTTCTGGAACGATTAGTTCCCAAATTCACATGACCAGTATACTGATAAAATTGTAAATTGTAAACTTGTACCAACTCGTGCATTCATAATGCATGAGTCCATTAGGCGTGGTGTACCAAGAAAGATATGTACCACAACGAATGAGGGCAAGATGTTGCACAGCCTCACACTATTGTAAACAAAGCTGTAGTCCCAAAGGCATTCTATTGTTTTTTTTCCATTTTTTATGCATGATGAAGTACGGTGCTGTGCAGAAATCTTACCCAAATGAGTGGGGTACTGGGCTGGGCTGGGCTGGCTAGAGAGACAAAAAAGTTTGCCATCTCATCAAAATAGAAGATTATGCTAACTCTTGTATTGTTTTGTGGGTGTTTCTCACGCACAGTGAATCTCCTAGCCTCCCATACAGTTGGCTTAAGTTTCCAGACAAAAACAAGGTTGGATAATTTGCAATGAATGTGTCTTTTTCTGAAATGGGTGTTGTTTTTCTGATTGGGATGATGGTGGTCTATTTTACAACTTCAGACTTAAGTTTATGAGTAGATAACGAAAAAAAAAATTTTTCTTGAGGGGGGGTAGGGGGGAAGAGGGAAGAGTATACTACAAACTTAAAGTGCCTATGGAGTAAAAATTTTTTCGCATAATTTTGTAGCTTATTATGTCCTTATTAAGGAATGACAAAAGAAATTTCAAGAAAAGAAATTTAAATGGGCTTTTTGGTGGCTTGAAGTCCCTAAATTAGACGTTATTGGTGTCTCTGGAAACTGGGAACGAGTTTAGCTCTGATGATGTAGTTGATGGTTCTGGCGCTTTGTTTAAGCTTTTGTTTGTCATCTTCAGAACCACCAACTACGTCACTTCCTTTGTAAGATGAGATTTGACAGCGTGCAAAATGGACCCATTTCAGATTGCACAATCCAAACTTTGAGGTTCAAAAAATGATACAAGAAAGTTCTTTTGGTCGGTCAAAATCGCTTAGGTGTGTTCATCAAGACATAAGCAAACAAACAGGGCAAAAAATTTCTTCTTCATAGGCACTTTAAGAATTTTGAGAAATCCTGCTAGTGTGGATAGCAGCCACACCAGACAAAATGTTTGTTTTCAATTTGTGGCTGCCAAAGGTAAAGGGTACTTTTTGGACTCTTACCTTAATTACACACTTTATTTTTATGCAAGTCATGCTATCTCTGTTTTTTTTTTTTTGCATTGTGTAAATTTAGCACATGATATTGTACATCGTCAGTGTTGGCAGGAAAAGTTTGAGAATTGTGTTTAACACTCAGTGTTGCCTTCTTACAACAGCTGCTAATGGAAAATTTTCCCATAAGCAGCGGTTTCTTTAAGTAAAAACAAAATTCTGTTTAAGAAATATGTTTTTAGTCTTGTCATAAATGTGAAACATAGAGAAAATTCTGAGTCCCCATGAGGAATCAAACCTCAGACCTTGGGATTCCACTCTCTGATGTTTTACCAGTGAGCTAGAGAAACTCTATGGTGAGCAAGGCCATGATGAAGTGTCCTGCACACTGCTTGGATCAGCAGTGGCAGTAGCCTCGTGTATTTTTAGCTTGATAAAGAAATAGAGAAAGATTTTTTTTGTCTTGTTATAAGTTTATTGTTATTCTTGTGTCTCACAGGTATTGTGTATTTTTTCAGTTGCATTTCATAATGCCATTCCATTCATTGGGTTTGGGTTCTTGGATAATGCTATCATGATAATTGCAGTGAGTATCATATGAAAAATTAGATGTGTTCTTCTGTTTTTTCATCCTTGGGGGCTTTTATCTAGGAGCCACACTTTTCTCCCTTCACAAGAACCAAATATGATAGAGCCTGCATCAAACAGAGACCCCAAGGACCTTTCCTAATGTCTACTTGATATGGGGTGTGGGTTTAACTTTTGTGGTAGTAAGTTGCACAATGGTAGCTGATTGGTGTTGCAACTGGTGTTCACAATAATTATGTGTCATTGGCTACCTATTGCATAAACTTGTTTGGCCCTCTATCATGACAATGTATGGCCAACAAAACAATTGTCAGCTCTGTCACGTTTTAACATTCATTTCTTTAAAAGTGAAGCCTAGAAAATTAAAAAAACCAAAGTTTGGATTATTCAGTGGGGCCATTTTATTGCTCCCTATTTTTGCCCTGTTCTGCAGTGTAATATCGTGGCATATTTTGTGTGTTCTTGTTACTTTATTTGGTAAAATTACACAATACAGTCCAACCTCCATTATCCAGACTCATAGGCACTGGGCTTAATTTTAATAGATAGATAATTGAAAATATGAAAATAAATGTTTGTTGATAAAGAAACCAGAGAAGCAAGTCTGGATAATCAAAAAATCCAAATAATCAAGGTTACTTGAATAATTAAAGTTCTTACTGAATACAGGGTTGGTATACAATAATTTTGGTGTAAAAGTTATGAGAGAATATTCATATATTAGAAAGGTACAACCAAGCAAGACTTCCAGTTATGTGTAAGAAGCTTAATTAAGTTATAAACAAGTGTCTAGGGTGAGACCTTCACAAGTTAATTCCAAACTTAAACAATCTTGGTTGATTTGACTAAAGATTTCAAAATAATGTTTATATCTTTTATTTATCTTTAAGGGTGAATACATAGATTTAACAATTGGAATGACCCTAGGGATTTCAACAATGGCAGGTTGGATGTTTACTCATCATTTTCTACTTGTTTTACAACAAAATATTATGCTCGAATGTGTGCATGCAAATCCTGAGCAAAATTTTGCTCAATAGAAATAAGTAATGCAATGTATTGTAAGAAGCTGCTGTTTTCATGGCTCAGGCATGTCATTCTTGTTAGCGATTGTGTGTAACAGAAGGGCCTAGGCCTTTTCAATAGTGTATCATGATTTTTCATGCCTCTAACTTAATTTAATTGTTTTGACTTTATTAGTTATTATCTTACAACATGTGTAACTTGTGGAATTTGAAATAAATTATATTGAATTTTGAATTTGAATTTCAGCTGCAGCCCTTGGTAATATTGTGTCTGATGTCTGTGGAATAGGGTAAGTTAATTTGATATGCAAATACATAATCATTTTGTTTGTTCTGATTCAGTCCTTTGTTTTTATTACCCTTAAATTATACACATGACTCTCTGTTTAATATTGTACTTGACACAGCTTAGCTCATTATGTTGAGGCAGCAACAAATAGACTTGGCTTTGAGAGCCCTAACCTTAGCTCAAAACAAACAGAGATGCCAAGGACAAGATTTGTAACAAACTTGGTAAGGGTTGCAGAGAATTTATTGGAGAAAAGGAGTATTGGAAACCTTGATTAATATGTTAACTTTCCACTGTCTTGAAGAAAAACAGATAAAGAGACAAATTGACAGATATCAGTTCTTGAAGAGTTAAATGAGGCAACAGACTGATAGAAAGACAGATGGGTAGGCCAACAACCTAAGAGACAGACCAACTGAGAGACAGATAGAGAGACTGGCAGATAAGCTGACAGTTAAACAGTAAGTTAAACAGACAGATACAAAGACTGACAAACAGATGGGCTGACGGTCAAAATGATAGTCAGACAGTCTGACAAACAATTTGGTGATATCAACTAAGTTGAAATTGTAAATTGGCCATCGTGAAGAGTTAAAAAGCTGATGTTTCGAGTGTTAGCCCTTCGTCAGAGTGAAAGACAGATGAACAGGGAGTCACAATGGTAGTCAGACAATCTGACAGACAGATGGGCTGACCATTAAAATGATAGTCAGACAGACTGACAGATGGATGGGCTGACAGTCAAAATGATAGTCAGACAGACTGTGACAGATGGGCTGACAGTCAAAATGATAGTTAGACATACTGACAGATGGATGGGCTGGCAGTCAAAATGATAGTCAGACATACTGTAACAGATGGGCTGACAGTCAAAATGATAGTCAGACATACTGACAGATGGATGGGCTGACAGTCAAAATGATAGTCATACACACTGACAGATGGATGGGCTGACAGTCAAAATGATAGTCAGACATACTAACAGATGGATGGGCTGGCAGTCAAAATGATAGTCAGACAGACTGACAGATGGGCTGACAGTCAAAATGATAGTCAGACATACTGACAGATGGGCTGACAGAATGATAGTCAGACACACTGACAGATGGGCTGACAGTCAAAATGATAGTTAAACTGACTGACTGACAGACAGATAGATGGGCTGAAAGTCAAATGATAGACAGACAGACATGTGGGCTGGCAGTAAAAATGATAGTCAGAAAGACAGACATACATACAGAGAGACAGACTGAGTGACGGACAGATGGACTGACAGACAGATAGGCAGAGAGGGTTTTATTGCAGACTACCTGGTATAACAGAAATGAATGAAGGAAGGAAAATAGAAAAGGAAAGCTGTCATAATCAAAGAGTTCAATTCCTTTTCTTCTTGTAATTGTTAATGAATAAGATAAGTGACATTTTGTTGTGGATTGTTAGCTGTTGTCCTTAGCAAGAAAGATTATACAGATTGTTAGCTGTGTAATGTTGTGTTATTTCCCTCTCCTCAATCTCTAACTGTATTCTTTTCTTTCTCAGGGAAGAGCCTTGGGTATTGTCGTGGGATGTTTCATTGGGATGTTTCCATTACTCTTTTACAAAAGCAAAGAAGATCATGAAGAAAAGTCGACACCCAGTGAAAGCTAACAATGAAATATTAAAAAATATAAGTATATAAAATTTGGAATTAGAAAGATGGTAAGATTTGAGCTGGGCAAAGAAATAGAGAAAGATGTTTTTCATCTTGTCATGAGCGTGGAACAAAGAAAAAATTTGAAGTCCCCAGGGAAGGTTCAAGGTTGTAGGTTTGATTTCTCATGGGGACTCAGAATTTTCTCTTTGTCCCATGCTCATGACAAAATGAAAAACATCTTTCTCTAAGTATATAAAAATAGCTTCATGACAAAATTAACCTGCGTTGAAGGTGCTTGGTTTGATATGGTATGAATGAAATAGGCATTTTTTTTTGTTGCCTCTTTTGTTTGAGACTACAATGTAGACTTGCCATTGAAAATCCCTAATTCATAATTAGTAATTCTTTAAAAAATTAGTAATTTACAGCCCAGCCAATTGTCAGGTTGTAGGAAATATGCTAGCCTGCAGTGCAGGCGGATTTTGGAGGGGCGAGTTAATATTCCCATCGCTTGTTCAGGCTGCCATCTTGAATAAGAAAAACAGTGGAGGGTTGGGGTGAGGTAAAAAGTTTACCAAGTTAGTGGGAGGGAGAGAGAAATCTCGCATTCTTGCATTCCTGCCCCAGTTCTCCCAGTCTGCAGCAAATCCAACATGGAGGCTAAACACTCGAAAGATGAAAACCATCAAAACTCCCTGCACTGCAGGCTAGAAATATGCATCCTAACTTCACAGAGAACTCTTTACATTATTTTGGACAGTTCATGAAAATATCCTATTTTTGCAAGCAGTCTATTATCATGACATCAATAGTGCCAGCAGTAACTACTTACCTCCTTCATATTTTGGATAATGGTCTTTGCCATCTCAGAGATGCTGAGGTTTTATCGTTTTTACCAATTTTTCATCACACAACGGTCTGTGAATTTAACTTTTGAGCAATTGAACTTTTAGTTGCAGTTCTTGCTCAAAGTACATATAGTTGACATGTTTAAATTATTTTACTTGAAAATTTGGAAACTTAATAAATTCCCAGACACTATTTTGGTTGGTTCCTTCGTTTTTGGTCCAAACAAATGGAAACATGGTTACATTAGTAGATGGTCATGGGTAGATACAGGACAAGAACACAGTGAGTACTAGCCTGTGTACAGCTACCACTACCTTCCAAAAGAAAGGAAAGGGCCCCTTCCTGATTTTTTTTCAGGAGGGTAAGGGGAGGTTGTACACATGCTAAGTGAATAGTCACACATCTCCATAAATAGCATCTTCGACCGAAACTAACAGGCTGTTGCAGGGTGGTGTGGTGAAGTATAAGAAGTACTCATTGGAAAGCTATGGGTTTGACTCCTGCCTTTCCTAATAAGATCATTACAGTTAGCCAAATCAATATGAAAACAGGAGGCATTGTGGTTGAGTGTTAAGGACACTGAACATACAATCTGTTGATCCTGGGTCAAAGCCTTCACCAGGCTTCTCACTGGATTTGCTCCTGCTTGCCTTAAAGTGAGAACTCCCTGGCCATGCTAGCTCTGTAAATAATTGGACTGCCTTTTAATAATTGGGAATTTCAAGCACATTGCGTTTAATGATAATGTTTGGGTCATGATGTCCTTTTATTGGCCCTGAAAAGCCTCCTTGGCTTTAAATAGTCGATTAAAGTGATGTTATTATTTATGACTGTTGCCAACAGTTGGCAGAAAGGAAGGAGTATTAAAAGCGTCGTTGAGTAAAGTTAACGAATGTGCTCTCGTGAGGCAAAACTCAGAAGCGTGTACCCTTGTTGCTGGAGATTTTAAAGAAGGATTGTTGTCTAGAACTTGTTTATGGAAAAGTCTCAGAAAAAGTGGGCTTCTGATCTCAGTTCTTTTAAAAGACGATCCTTTTTGCCTGGTGTTAACATGTGGATGGGCCTTTAACAGGTGGGGCTCATGAGACTGTGGGCGAAGGAGAAGGCGTAGCTATAACCAAATAGCCATTTTTTTGTTTTTCAATTGCACGGGCCAAAAACCGAGGGCACTCATGGGTAAGGGTGTAGGGTTTGGGGCGGTCTTTCAACCTTGGATGTTTGACTATTGATCTACTAAACAGATATCAGATTGCCTTGTGATTTTTATTCTTGATATTCAAGAGTGGATGGTTAAATTATTTACAAGACGTTGAACGATACAAAAACCTGAGGTTGAACGGGTGGGTGTTCACTAGACCTTGTATATATTTATGCGCGTTCCGGCTGGACTGATTGACTGGCGTGAGCATAAGCACGTGTTATTGAACTCGACTGTAGGAGAAGATTTCACAACACTGCAGGTACCAGAAGTTTCTCAAACAAGACTTGGGCGAAGTTTACGTGAAAAGTTTCTACAGTGTCAAATAAAACTAATAACACCTCAAGCAGGTACAATACACTACACTGTTGTGTTTTGACAAATGAGTTTCCTGCTTTTGGAAAGTAGTTAATATTTTATTTCAAGTAGTCTTTGGCACTGGTTACTTCTTCGCGAGCGACATGTTCGCTTTTTACGTTGGTTGAATTTACGAGGAAATGATCGTTGATTTGCTTTTAAACGAAGTGATGGAATGAGAGATGATTGACTGTTGCCAGCAGTTGGCAGAGAGGAAGGAGTATTACAAGCGTCGTCGAGTAAAGTAAACGACTGTGCTCTCGTCAGGCAAAACTGAGAAGCGCGCAAGGCCTTGTTACTGAGAGATTTCAGAGAAGGATTGTCGTCTTGAACTTACCAATGACTGAAGGTAGATTGCTTGAATTGTATCGGGCGAAGAACAATTTATCGCTAAATTAGCAGACAGGTGTATGCACAGACTGAAATAAAACATTTCCACATGTTGCGTTCTTGAAAGCAAAAACATGAAAAACGCAAAAGAAAGTATCATCACAGCGATGGGGAAACGCATATTCATTGCTGTGTCGGTTTTAATGGTTGTAGCCGGACTTATAGGTGTGCTCTTGGAAGTACACAAGATGTCACAGGACACCAATCTTACTCTCGTCAAGCACGACATCGTCGGCGACTATGATGAGCTCTACGACGAGTATTTTCCTCGTAGCTATCATGCCACAGGACTGCTCACTCTTCCCTTCGATGATATCGTTGAGCCTTTTGAGGCGTGGTTTGCGGGGGACAGGAATATGAGTAGAATTGACTATTATTATGGTATGTATTTTTAAATGATTGAAAAATGTTTGATGAACCGTTGACTTGTAAAACCAACGATTACGACTTAAAAAAAATAACTTTATTTTACCCGTCTTATGATTATATTTTGGTTTTACTTTTGGTTGTTTTGCGGGTAATCTACAGTATTTATGCTCTCAATTAGAATCAGTATTTTGATAAGATTTATTCCGCTATCATCAGCTCTTTACACCATAACATCAGTATGCAAATTCTCCATACTACCATACATTCCTGAGGTTATGTCAAGGAGTATTTGCTTAACAAATGAGTGAAGAGGGAACAGATGAAACGATGAATCGGTTACAAATAGTTAAAAAGAAAGGAACAGAAGGCTTTACTGATATCTCCGACCTCAAATTGTCTTAAACCAATGCTATTTTCTTGTATGTCATTATACAAATGGAAGTTTGTCCGGGACATCTTGAAACTTGGTCCTTTCACAGCACTTTATTCCAAAACAAGTGGTCCCCGTGGTTCCCCTGCATTGAAGTAGGTGGGGAGAGGGAAGGAAAATCTACCCCAAGGAAGCTTAACGCATATCGCGATCAATAGGAAAGTCTCAGCAGAGTTTTAAATTTGTTATTTGGACCTCTGTCTCTCTTACACAGACGTCACTGCTGGGGCCGGTACCTTTGCCTCAAATGTTGGCGCAGTCCTGAGAGCGGAATAAACTCATCTAATTCTAGTCTTCTATGTTTACTTTTAATTCTTTTTCACTTCTTTAGGTATGGACAAAACAATCCAACGCGGAGACCTTGGTAAGCACGGCATCTTGTTTAAAATCGTACCCATGCACTCCGAGATGAAACCTTCCAATAAGGACTTGATGAGCTGCTGGTACAAACCACTCCCAAAATGGCTTCCGCGTGCAGGACAGAGTGTCATACCAACAAATCTGTCAGAGTTTAAGGTTTGAACCGATTATCTATCCTGTAGGGTCGCCTGTGTTGTACACTTCAGAATATTTTATTTTAAGTTCACCTTGCAAAAGGCGTTAGGTGGAGTTAATTGTAACGCGTAATCTTGAAGCAAGATGATGATAATTTTTTGTGGGAAGTCGTAGTAGCATGAGGGGATGGCAGAGTCTTCACTTGTACCACAATGGGTTTCGATGGATTATTACTCTGTTCCTATGCTGAGTATCTCTGAGTTTGTTGCACCGCCATCACATGTCTTGCTACAAAGTCGTCGTACATTGTTTCTACACTGGCTTTAACCATTTACATCCTGACATCAGTATGGAGATTCTCCATACTGTTATTTTTCGCATTTTCTAAGGTATTGACAAGGAGAATTTATTATTTCATCCAATGAAAAACCTCGAGCTTATCGAAAACTCTCAAAAGGATAGGTAGAGAAAGAAGATAGGTGGAGAAAGAAGATTTCAAGTTACAGTGATACGGTGGAATGTACAACTATTAACTCTAAGTTCCTTTTTCAGTTTGTTTCCGAGGAAACGCATCGAGGACTGCCATGTCTTAAGTACGAGAGAAAATACAAACGTTATAATAAAAGCAATATATACAGATTTTACATAACCAAAAACACGCCTCACAGACCTTTGCGATACGAGATGGTGGGCTATGACGACATGCTGACGTCACATTACGATCACTACGTGTTGGATTACATATCATTTGAGCCTTGGAGCTTTAACAGGTCCTTGTTTAGTTTGCCGAAAAGTAAGTGTTGGATTAGAGATCATTGGGTAAAGCAGTTTTAAATTGCTTGTTTCTTAAGAAGAAACAATCGCGATAGCGTATCACAAAACGCTGAAGCAACACAGTGAGCTTCTAGGGTTCATTTCGAGCTGGCAAACGTTTTAGGCTTCAAACAGTGAGAGGGGAAGGTGGAATTGATGGTAACTTATTCGTTCTCTTTTATGGTTGAGCAGTGGCGCAAAGTGTGTAAAAAAAGTGGGGAGCTAGTTAAGTCAAACAAGAAGAGTTCGAGATAGGATCCATCCCCACCAAATAAAATTTTAGTGTATTGTTGGTCACAATTCTCAGCTGCTTTTCATATACATTTACATTCGTGGATACAAATCGACATTTTGAGAGCAGTATCCTGCCCAAACGGAACAAAATTTACAACACAGCAGCGCTGGGGGACCAGTGTTCGGACTTCCCTGTGCGACTGCAGTCTCTCGCTTTCCGGCAGTAAATATATGTGCCACCCATAACCTGGAAGGTCGACTCATTAACTCAATAGATCAGAGTATGCACCATTTTGGTCTTTTAAACAAGGTTAGTTACTAAGTCCTGAATACATACCATGTCTAAAATAAGATTAACATTTTCATTTTTGGAAGACTCGAGCTGCGACAAGAAAGCAAAGAAATTACGTTCACACTACTTAGCAAATCCTATGGCGGAATACATGCACTTCAAGCATCATAAAGATAGCGAGCTAGACAAGACTTACGATGACTACAAGGTAACACATGGCAAGCATTACACAACTGTGCCAGAACATGAGCGACGAAAACATATCTTCAAGCATAATCTCAGGTAATGCTATATTATAGTGACGCGTGCCGATCATGTTAGTCGATCCTTCGACGGACGCTTTTTGGCGCAGCTAGTTTTCCGGCTCATCACGAATTATCTTATAAAAATATTGGAGATCTTGCGTATCAGCTACACAAAATTATAAGAGATGACCCCTTAGAGTCGGATTAGCATCTAATTTCTCCTTACAATATCACACCTTAATCGCACATTAAGGTCGCGAGAATAAAGGAAATGATCACTAGCGAAAGAAGGTGTTGACTGTTTCACAAGTTCTCCTTGTCAGCGCCTTAGGAAATGTATGGAGAATACTATGGAGAATGTGCATGCTGATGTTGGGGTGGAAAGGGTTAATCATGACAGCTTTTCTTCTCTTGCTTGTTCTTTCTTTGTTATTTGGAGGTGTTAAGCTTAGTTCATTTGAATTTTTGCGGATATCGCTGATTGATCCATTTTTTGTATTAATTTTGAGTAAGGTAAGCAATTCAGAATCAGAAGAAACATCTAATCGGGAGAGATTTAAGTTCTTTCATTTAACTAAGAGTGAGCTGACACTTCATGGTGGGCCGTTTTAATACTCTTTAGAAGTTCAGAAAGGAGGGGCGCACGAGTAGCCTACGTGGCAAAGGTTGACAGAAGAGGGGTGAGGACAGGGAATAGAGACGGGGGGAGGAAGGGCAGGGGTCCGTGCACGTGCTTTTGGGACATCATGACAGATTTATGTGTAGGGGAATACAAAAGCATCTACGAAGGGAACGGAAAGGAACTTTTAGTACTACTCATAAGGGTAAATTGATGACGATGATGAGAATTTTCTTTGTAGATACATTCGCTCGAAGAATCGTGAGAACCTGAAGTACAAATTAGCTCCAAATCACATGGCTGACATGACAGAAGAGGAAGTGAATTTGCATAAAGGATTACTTCACGTAAAGAAACCTAAGAAATCCAAGTCAAATACGCTCGCGTTTAACGAGTCCATTGTACTTACAAACCTCGTTCCCGATCAACTGGACTGGAGAGATTATGGTACTGAACTAGTTAATGAACAGATGTTGTGGTTATGAACTTTAGGTTCATCTCAGTCCCGTGTTCTCCTACCTTTGGCACTGAGCAATGTTCGATTGAGTGCCGGAGTTCATGCGGGATTGCATTGGGTTTTGTTTTTCTTTAATCTGTATACGGTGTGGAAAATATACGCCACCCTCAACCAATCGGGTGCAAGCTAAGACTAAAACCAATCATATTACTTCTTTGTGATATGTATTTTTGCTTTGATTGACTGTCATGATTACTTTGGATTTGGTTGAACGGCACTCGATCGAAATTGCTTTAAGCAGTTACTTAGCCGCCTAAGGAGGCCAAGCTAGTTGACATTCATGTAACTATGCCAAGCGAGAATCAGTGCTCATTTGTTTACTTTGTTCATTGTTTGAAGGGTTGGTGATGGTCAGATGGTGGGTAAGGAGGGAGTTAGACTGTAGGTGAGGAGGGGGTGGTCAGCCTGTAGGTGATGCATTAAATATCCCTTACGTTTTCTCTCGGTTCTTTGTCCATCAGGTGCTGTGACTCGTGTTCACAGTCAAGGTTTGTGTGGATCATGCTGGACATTCTCTGCTCTTGGAGCGGTGGAAGGAGCTCATTTTCTGAAGGTAGCGTTTGGCAATCCTTCCGATGTTACTTTCTTTTCTATAAATTTCCTGTTTGGTATATTTCAGAATTCATCAAACGATTTTCAATTAAGTGCCGCAAGCAATTCCGAAATGTACTATCCTAAGCCTCCCCTGATATCTATCTTTGCCTTGACTGGCTGCCATTCAGTCTCTCTTTTACCTTTAAGTGGCATTTTTATGACTAAAGGACCTAGCGATCAAAATTCACTCCGACACAAGCATAAGCGCAATATAACTTGAGCAGAAGTCTGACATGTGGATGCGTAACTTGCCGCGTTTAGCGATTGTTAAGTACTTTCTCGTACACGGCTATTAAAACTGAGGAAACTGTGTTACGTGAGGGTTTTGGTTTATTTCAGTTTGCTTTTCCTTCTTCTTTGACCAGACAGGAGAACTCCTCGAACTCTCAAACCAACAATTGATTGACTGCTCGTGGCCTGCAGGGAATCACGGGTGTCGTGGAGGATTCCAGGACAGGACTCTAAGATGGGTGAAAAGCAATGGAGTGGCTTCCAGGCGAGATTATGGTCCATACCTAGCACAGGTGAGGTGACATCCAGCGCAAGCGAAACCTTGATTGCGAACAGCTTTCTTTCTTAGCCATATAGCCAATTTTATTCTAAATGTGAAGGTGTAGTCTGATCATTTACTGCTTTATTCTAAATGTTAAGGTCGAGGAATTTGTTGCCATTTCTACATGCCCTCATTCTTACCTTACCGATAGCATCGTGAGGTTTCATAACGATCAGCTTTTACCTCTCTCTAGAGGAAGGCCCAGTGTGATAGTCAGAACCAGAGATCGTACAACATAAACTTAGGCTGATACAGGGCGAGCCACCGATAACGGGAAAATACAAAAGGGCCTTACTAGTTTTAAGAGTGGTAGAGGCGTTGGCCGCAGAAAGGCATGGGGCGAAAGCTAGGGAAAAAATAGTGACAGGCAGATTGGGGAGGGAAGAGAAGGGCTCGTTACCTTTTTTCGCTCGCTCTCGTCCTATGCTCTTGCGCTGCTCACGCTTCGCTTACGTTTTCTAGCGCTTAAATTAAAAGGAGACGAAAAGGCTTGTTACGCGTGTTAGCTGGACTCTAGATCAAGACTTCCACTTCGAATTAATTCCGAGTCATTGTGTTTTTTATGCGTAAGACTCTGTACTCTTACAGTTGCCTCTCCTCCCCCCCCCCCCCCCAACTGTAAATGCGAATTGTCACAGCAAATCGATCACACCGCCGAGGGAAACTTTTTGCGGGATTTTTTAATCTGTTCAGGGAAGGGGAGGGAGGGGGGGAGGGGGAGTTGCAGTATACATACTCATTTATTGTCTTAGAAAACAGGCACTAGACCCGGCAGAACATTTGACTCGGGTGCAGTCTTCTCGGTTCTAGTCCCTTAATAGTTTTAACATTCTTTGCAGGAAGGTTACTGTCATTGCGGCAAGTCAGATAACTGCTCCTTCACTCACATCAGTGGGTTTTCTAAAGTAAAGAAAAACAATTCTGACGCACTGAAGGTCGCCTTGGTCACTCACGGTCCCATTGTGTCCTCGATAAACTCGGACCAAAAGACATTTAGGTTTTACAGCCATGGAATTTACGATGATCCAAAATGTGGTGAGTTTTAAAATGCCATTCTTGTTGCACTGAATTGACATGGCCTTTTTTTTAAGTAACGGTTATGTGGCAACTTCTTTCTCAGCTTGAATGAGATGACATTCCAAATTAGATCTCTTACAAATGAATTAGCAGACTTTGTTTATTCAGTTTCAACTGTATTTTGTTAAACTAGCGGTTGATAAACTTTAAGGTTACATCTCGAGGTATCAAGTGAATAACATAAAAAATCGTTGCGCGTCGGTTAAAGTCCCTCCACAGGAAGCTGATCTTAAAAGTGAAAAGGGTTGAACAGGGCCTCATGTTTCAAAACTTGTATCTGAAAGGTCAACCTGCTGCTCGAAATATTGCTTAGAGGATGTGGTTATCAACTCAGAGGAACAAAATTACCTTAAAGATTAAACGAATTATTCAGAGCAAATTTGACGTTAAAAGGGTCTGTCTGATCTGATCAGTTTTGCGCATGCTTGAATTGGCACTCGATGGTTACACCGATGTTCCAATCTTGTCCCTAGAGGTCACGCTCCCCTAATCCCTGCGGTCCTCGTTTCCTGCTCGTAAGGGGTTAGGGAAACGTGACCTCTGCGAACGAGATTGCTGATGTTCTAATTCACTAATTGGTTGTTGTTTTTTTTTTTTTAGTAAACGCTGTACGTGTCGCGAAACCTTATTTATTCAAACTGCTCTCTCAAATTCATTTCTTGTAACCCAAGGGCTGGGAGAAAAGTCTAGATAACACAACGATTCTATAGGTTTTCTTTAGTATCTCTCTTTTGTTGATAGGAAAAAAGACGAATCATGCTGTATTGACAGTGGGTTATAGTGTCGACAATAACGTTCCGTACTGGATCATTAAAAACTCTTGGGGACACCTGTGGGGAGATGATGGTTACCTTAACATAGCCATGAATCATGACAGATGCGGACTGACGAATGGACCTTTACTGGCTATCAAAAAAGATCCATCCATCGCCGAGTTTCCGCTGAAAACACTAAATAAGGTTCCTAGACAGAGCATAACGTTTTATTCCGAGGAGGAATTGAGCATTATTCCATTCTAGGCAACACGGAAAGTCTTCGGTACATCAATGTGCGTGAGCTTAGAACAAAAGGACTTTCCACCCACCACCAACGAGCATATACAAGGAATAAACGAAGCCTGACATAATCAAGTTTGGCCTGGCGAGAGTGGAAGGATCTAAGCGGGAGAATGTGGTTTCCCTCCGGTAAAGTAGTGGATGCCCCTTCCCGCCTGTTGGGCACTAGTGATGACAACTTCTTGATAACGTCATACTTTCCGGGTGGTTAAGCCGGCCGAGTCAGTACCTTTCGACGGCTCAGCAGAGAAATCCGTTGCTATGTAGGAAAAGTTAAGGAGAAATAAATGCTAACGGTATAACTTTTCTAAAAAGGGAATGATAGGCTGTCATACGAAGCAGGACAACAGACTGATCACAAAATTATTTTGTGCGGGTTGCCCGTTGCATAGATGAAAATTAAAATGGCTTTTGAGGCCAGCCTGGGCGGTCTAGACATACTGTCAGTTAAAGGGCTTTAACACTCGAGGTGGGGTAACTTAGGTGGGGTAAGTTTTTCCTTAGGTAGTACAACAGTTTTTCTAATTTTCACAAAGCAATGTTTCTGTAATTTATTAAGTGTGGTTGACAAAGAAACAGTTAACCTCTTTATGTTGATGATTGTGATTCTCTCGTCTGGCTCAAACGTTGATGATGACAAAGAATGCACGCCGGTGGATTTGGGTGCGATTTTGGTGTCATATATAGACATCTCAAGATTGATTTGTAATGTACGTGCACAACTTGTGATATTCCGTATTAGCGTGCCCTTCTTTTTTCGATCTTCAGATGGAATGTCAGATTAAACACATCTGACCTTCGAGGTTAAACCAGGAGCCCGTTTCTCGAAAAAACCGGTAGTTACCGGTTCCGTTAAGTTTTTTACTTGTTTGCTGCGTTTACATACAAGATCGAGATTTTAATAGTTTCGAAATTCCAACAGTAAAAGTATCAGGAAACGAAACAAATTGAAAGGTTTTTGAACTGGGACCTGCCCTGTTATTCCTTAGAGTTCAATTTTCAAATTTAGGCCGGGCTCGATAAATAGGCGCAAGAACCGCTCAATTTCTAAAACCAACTGTTCACCCTTTCACTCCCCAAGATCTCATTTGTAATTCTCCTTACTGTCTGCCATACAATTCTTATGATGTTACTTTGGAGAATTTGGTATTGGATCAACTTCTAATCCCCTAATCTATATTTCTATTAATTCTCATCACTTGTCTGCTTGATATTGTATTGGTAATGTAAGGAGAAGATCTGTCTTGGTCACTCGTGAGAGTTAAAGGGTTAAGGAATACCTAGTATTCTCCGAATTCCCCCAAACTGTAACTGCGTAGCATATTGAATTGAAAAATGAACTAAATCGGCTGTAGCCGGTTTTAAAAAGACTAATCGTCAATTTAAGAAAATGTTATTTTATCTGGCTCCTCGGCAAGTTCTTTAAATCGCGTTCTTGACCTCTTGTAATCAAATGGCGAAAGTTTTAAAGCTGTCACATTCAGTCTTCTTTCCACATCTACAAAATTCTGTTTTTTCATCCTCATGAATGGATAAGATTCACACGCGTCATCAAGAGTTTCGTTCATGGTTACAAAAATAGGCTCGTTAGTTAGGACTCCGCATAAGTTATCTTTCATAGCAATCTTTACAAATCCTTCTTCACCCCAAAATTTTCCCCACGAATTCTTTACTATCCAGTAAGGGGTACCATTTTCTTCTCCGTATCCAACTGCTACAACACCATGGTTTGTTTGAGTGCCTTGGAGGAAGAGAAAACCATGTTGAGGAAAAGAGTTCATGAGCGATTTTGAACTTTAAGAGTATCAACGCTTGTCTAGTAAAGGGTCCGATAGTGGCATCTTCCTGGTGTGTGAGAGAAGGGGGGGGGGGCGCCAAGGCGCCAGATTGCCATCACTTTTCCGAAATCATTCGTTTTCCTTGATAAATAGGAGAAAGGATCATATGTACCCCAACCCTCCCCCCGACCCACGGCTCTTCAATACCATCTATTGACAAAGAGTCTGTTCTATTTCCTCAGTCGTAATAACCCTCCCTCCGCTTCCTTATGAGTTAGGAAACTCTTGGCCAAAAGACAATTAGAGGAAGGTAACAGAAATAAAAAAACAAATCCCTAAAATATGTGAATGGCGTCTCTTCTTTTCCACGGCTGCGACGACAACAATTGGAAAACCTTTCCAGGCCCTGATAATGAAATTAGTGTAGACACTCCTGGAGTTTTACTCACTACAATCCTCATCATCATAAATGCCAGAGTTGTAAAACTTCAGAGTTTTTCGACTGGCGCTGATAGCTATGGACGCCGGACCAAACTTGGCCAGGCCTTGTTTCAACGCCTCTGCGTTTTTTTTCTTCACAGTCACCACTCGCTTGAATTTCACCACATCACAACCGTCCTCTTTGGCACAGTGGCAGAATCCTTCCTGTGTGTGTCACATGGGGCCATATTGTTAGACTATAAGCAGACAGGGTGCTTTTCGATCGAGTGTCGTAAATACAAACAAAAATAACCACAAAGGCAAAAAAGAAGCATGACTTTTAAGAGCCTGTAAGAACTCAAAGTAAAAACAACCCAACTACCTAAAGCGCGGGAAAACGTGGCGACCAAGTCGTAATTGGTTTTAGGTTTGCATCTGATTGGTTGAAAGGACGGCGCTAGTTTTCTGGACCAATCACAGAGCGAAGTAAAGCAAAACCTATGCAATCCCGGATTACTTTCGACATTCAATTAAAAATTTCTAAAAATTTCTCAGATATGCCATCATCAACAGTTCCAGTCGGACAGATGCAGAATAGGTTCTAAGCTTATAATGTCAGAATTAAGCGCATTTAGTAATATCAACTAAGTTAAAAAAGTAAATTGGCAACCATAAAGAGTTAAAAGGCTGACGTTTCGAGCATTAGCCCTTTGTCAGAGCGAATGACGAAGGGCTAACGCTCGAAACGTCTGCTTTTTAACTCTTTACGGTGGCCAATTTACTATTTCAACTTAGTTGATATCACCAATTACTTGTTACCCCCACCGACGCATCACCACAGTTTCTTTGGAAACTTACCCCCTTTAAGCGCATTTAGTTTATCAGTCAAACGCTCCCTCTGATTATTTAAAAACTTGAGCTGTTTTCAAATAAAAGGCGTGCTTTTCATTGAGTTCCGATAACATTTACCTCAATTCTCTCTTTCAATAAAAGATGGGCGATAGGAGAGCGCCGTGGTTTCTACTTTCTCCCTTCTTCCTGAATTTGCAGGATTCGCTCGTAAAAGCACAACACATCACCATACTGACCTGAGCAAGATACCTGCCATAGCTGCTGCTGGAGGCTACCCCGTGTTTCTTGGCCCAGACAAGAGCTTTCCATGAGTAACCTCCTCGACAACCACTGTTACCAAATCCCCAGCTGCAGTCCATGAGTTGCTGTTCTGACACATCTAGGAGTTTCCCGGTCTATAGTGTCAAGAAATGGTTCTTAGTTACAAATTTTAAAATGTGCTATGAAAACTCCACTGGAACATCGTATATATTGATGTATTCACGGCGTAAGAACTGTAAGGTTCCCAAGGACTGGTCTCACCACTAACATTGCCTCGTTTCGGTTTCCTTCGGCGGTCACCAAGCTCCCCAGTTATTGCACTCGGCAAACAAGCTTGTCATGTAATAACGCCAGGTAGAGGGTAAGGTATGTGTTTTTCTGGTAATTTCATTTTATACCGTTATGCTTGGCTACAGTGAATGTTGAAAGACATAGTGTTCCCCCTCCTTTAGAAAAATTGTTAAATATCACGACCTGTAACAGTTGATCGTTGTTTTGTCGTGGTGTTACCCTGAGGGGTTAAACATGGGAGTTACCATTGTAATTTCTTCGTTTAGTCTCAACTACAATACAATTTTTGGACTACTTCCTCTTACTTCGATATGTTTGTGCGCTCTTGAGTACCAGAAGATAAGAAAATGTAATCTCGATCTCGTGAATATTATATTTTGTTATTGTTGTTGAGTGACCCGTTGACCCTTAATAGTGACTAGCATCTAATTTTTCCTTACAATATCACCACGGAATCGCAAATTACAGGTCACGAGAATAAAGGAAATGATCATCAACTAAAGAGGCTCTTGACTGTTAAACAAATTTCCCTTGTTAGCACCTTAGGAAATGTGTAGAGAACAGTATGGAGAGTATGCAAAGCAACGTAGCTAGGGGTGTAAAGAGCTTAATTAACGTGCATTATAAAGAGTTACAAATTCACCTGGATTGCATAAGCTCCCTCTATTGGTCCAGTGGAGGAAAAGGTCCAACATGAACCACATAGGCCTTGAGCCTTGGCAGGGGTCACTGCACCTGAAAAATATCTTTTGTTAGTTGAGAACCGCCTAGATGGTTCAGTTTAAGTTCTTGATTCAACTAAGCTATATCTTTTAGTCAGTACATGTGCTAGGATTGGTCAATTTCAGAACCAGATGATAATTTGAGAACATAAAAGATGAACGATAGACCGAGTAAATTCATCGTGTCTTTAAATTTGACAACAAATGAACAGAAAATCAAGATGTTAAGTGACAGTTATATTTCGGTATAAACTATACCATCATCAAAATCTGATTTATCTTAGTTCTGTAGTCTGTGCTTTTAGTTATGAGTTTACGAAGGAAAAGGCACATTTAAGTCCTTTAAAATTATCCCCTTATGCTCCGCAACTGGAATTTCATTTAACTTGAAATGACTGAAATGGGTGATGCTGGCCCTTCTGTTAACTGATATCCAAAATCAAGAGTGTACCATTCATGAAACAATTGGTGACTAACCTACAGCTTAAACATCGCCATTTCATCATTGTGATGTCATTTTGCTCTCAGACTACTAAAGCCATGCATCAGTTCTGTTCTGGTATTCAGTTCTGTTCAGTTCAGTTCAGTTCAGTTCAGTTCAGTTCAGTTCTGTTCAGTTCTGTTTTTTGACATTCCATCGAAAATGCTCTACCTAAACACTTGCAGCATTTTTACTAAAAAGACATACCATATTCACGCCAGTCGAGACACTTGGGAAGCGGTGTATTAGGAGTATTAAATCTTGCCTCTGGTATTTCCTGTTTCTTGAGTCCCTCGTCACCACCCCCGCCGGGATCAATTAACAGACCTTTGTACATTTCAAACTCGTCGTCTGTGACGTCGCTTAGTTCATTTGGCGCCAACGTGAAGTTCAACGCGGCTCTGTTCTTTGAGCTTATAAACCTGAGATAAAAAGTAAAGGAAAGGGGCATGTTTTTGTTTCTTTATTATCACACAGGACAAAAAAAATACAGAAAATGAAAATAATTTATTAAAGAGAGTGTCCACAAAGGACGTTGTACATGTCCACATCGTGCTATTTAACTCTCCATACTATTATCTAAATATTTATAAAGTGCTGACAAGGAGAATTTGTTAAACATTCCTTTAGTTGGTGATCATTTCCTTTATTCTCATGACCTTAATGTTTGAGTCAAGGGTGATATTGTAAGGAGAAATTCGATGCTAATCACTCTTAGGGGTCAAAGTATCTGATGCGAAAGGCTTCTCACACGAGATGTAGCTTATGGCCAACAACTTAAGTTCTCCTTTGCTCAGTTAGTAGAGCATGGTGCAGTTTGATACTAATCCACTTGGAACGATCGCACTTTTTCTGTGTCGCAAGATCGTGACAGAAGTTAAACATGGTGCTATGTTTCTATGTTTACCTATTGATGAAAATTTAACGATGGAAATACCATAAACACCATTACGGAGCACTCATGGCAAACGTAATCAAACTCGACGGTAGTAGCATCCGGCGCATCCGGCTCCAGTGTCCATATCATCCGATTGTTTAGTTAGTATCGCGCGCAGCGTCAGATTCCGGCTTTTTGATCCGGATCGTTACGTTACTAACTCGCGGATCCATTGATTGCAGTCGATCAGATTGTTACGCTAGTATCTCATGAATCTTTAGATTGTAGTTGATCAGATTGTTACGTGAGAATCTCGTGCATCTTTCGATTGTAGTTGATCAGATTGTTACTTAAGTATCTCACGAATCTTTAGATTGTAGTTGATCAGATTGCTACATTAGTGTTTCTCGTGCATCTTTCGATTGTAGTTGATCAGATTGTTACTTAAGTATCTCACGAATCTTTAGATTGTAGTTGATCAGATTGCTACATTAGTATCTCGCGAATCTTTAGATTATAGTCGACCGGATTGTTACGTTAGTTGCCCTCGCGCATCTTTGGAATGTAGTTGATCATATTGTTACGCTAGTCTGTTTCGTGTATCTTTAGATTGTAGATGATCAGATTGTAACGCAAGTATATTTGTAGTTGATCAGATTGTTACATTAGTCTCTCTCGCGCGCATCTTTAGAATCTTGTTGATCAGATTATTACGTTAGTCTCTCTCGTACATCTTTGGAATGTAATTGATCTGATCGTTATTTAATTATGTTACCATCATGCACATCTTTAGATTGTAGATGGTAAGATTGTTACGTAAGCCTGTCGCGCGCATCTTTAGGTTGTACCTGATTAGATTGTTAAGTTAGTCTATCTCGCTCATCCTAAGATTGTAGTTGATCAGATTGTTGCGTTAGTCTCTCTCGCGCGCATCTTAAGATTGTTGTTGATCAGATTGGCACGTCAGTCTTTCTCCCACAACTCTAGATTGTGGTTGATTAGATCGTAACGTTAGCATCTTGTGCATCTCTACATCGCACTTGATCACATCGTAATGTGAGCCTCTCTTGCGCGCATTTTTAGATTGTAGTTGATCAGATTGTTACGTTAGTTCTCTTGCGCATCTTAAGATTGTAGTTGATCAGATTGTTACGTTAGTATCATGCGCATTTTTAGATTGTAGTTAATCAGATTGATACGTTAGTCTCTCTCTCGTCTTTAGATTGTAGTTAATCAGATTGATATGTTAGTCTCTCTCGCGCATTCTTAGATTGTAGTTAATCAGATTGATACGTTAGTCTCTCTCGCGCATTTTTAAATTGTAGTTAATCAGATTGATACGTTAGTCTCTCTCTCGCGCATCTTTAGATTGTTTTTGATCAGATTGTTACGTTAGTATAACGCGCATCTTTAGATTGTTTTTGATCAGATTGTTACGTTAGTATCACGCGCATCTTTAGATTGTAGTTAATCAGATTGTTACGTTAGTCTCTCGTGCGCATCCTAAGATTGTAGTTGATCAGATTGTAACGTAATTACATTTATATCTTTAGAATCCAGTTGACCAGATTGTTATGTTAATTTTCTCTCGCGCATCTAAAGATTGTTGTTGATCAGATTATTACGTTAGTCCCTCTCTCGCGCATCTTAAGATTGTTGGTGATCAGATTATTACGTTAGTCCCTCTCTCGCGCGCATCTTAAGATTGTTGGTGATCGGGTTGTTACGGTAGTCTCTCCCACGCGCATCTTTAGATTTAGTTGATCAGATTGTTTCGTTTTAGTCTCTCTCTCGCGCATCATTAGATTGTAGTTGATCAGATTGTAACGTTGGTATATTTGCTTCGTTAGATTGTTGTTGACCAGATTGTTGTGTTAGTCTCTCTCACGTGCATCTTTAGAATGTAGTTGATCAGATTGTTACGTCAGTCGCTCTCGCGCATCTTTAGAATGTAGTTGATCAGATTGTTACGTTAGTCTCTTACGTGCACCTTTAGATTGTCGATGATTAAATCGTTATGTTAGTTTTTCTGGCGCGCATCTTTAGATTTTAGTTGATCGCATTGTTACGTTAGTCGCTCTCGCGCATATTTAAAGTATTTAGTTGATCAGATTGTTACGTTAGTCCTTCTCTCACGCACCCTTAGATTGTGGCTGATCAGATTGGTGCGTTAGTATCTCCCGCAACTTTACATTGTAGTTAATCAGATTGTTACGTTAGTCCTTCTCTCGTGCATCTTTAGATTGTGGTTTATCAGATTGTAACATTAGTATCACGTGCATCTGAGGATTTTAGTTGATCAGATTGTTACGTTAGTCTCTCTCATACGCATCTTTAGAATGTAGTTGATCAGCTTGTTACGTGAGTCCTTCTCTCGCGCACATTTACATTGTGGTTGACAGATTGTTACGTTGGTATCACGTGCATCTTTAGATTGTGGTTCATGAGATTGTTACGTTAGTCCTTCTCTCGCGCATCTTTAGATTGCGGTTGATCAGATTGTAACGTTAGTATCACGTGCGTCCTTAGATTTGAGTTGTTCAGATTGTTGCGTTAGTCTCTCTCGCGTGCATCTTTAGATTGCAGTTGATCAGATTTGATAGCGCTTGTCTCTGGATTGTTTTGAAGTAATTTATTCGTGTTTTTCTCGTTGCCATGTTCCCACCAATAACGTAGCTCCATTTTCTGCCTTTAAAAGCACACGAAGGGCTAAGGCTTGAAACGTCAGCTTTTGTAATCGTTACGGTGGCCAATTTACCATTTCAACTTTGTTGATATATTCAAATTAGATTGTTACGCTAATTTATCTCGCAACGTTAGATTGTAAGCGATCAGATTGTTATGTTAGCTTTAGATTGTAGTTGATCAGATTGTTACGTTAGTTTATCTCGCAACGTTAGATTGTAAGCGATCAGATTGTTATGTTAGTTTCTCATGCGCGCATCTTTAGACTGTAGTTGATCAGATTGTTACGTTAGTTCTTCTCTTGCGCATCTTAAGATTGTAGTTGATCAGATTGTTACGTTAGTTTATCTCGCACTTATCTTTAGACGGTAGTTGGTCAGATTGTTACGTTAGTCTCTCTTGCGCGCATCTTTAGATTGTAGCTGATGAGATTGTTACGTTAGTATCTCGTGCATCTTTACAGTATTGTTGATGGGATTGTTATGTTAGTGTCTTGCGTATAATAGATTATAGTTCATCAGATTGTTACGTCAGTATCTTGGGTATCTTTTCAATGTAGTAGAACATATTGTCTCTTTAGTATCTCCCATACCATCAGATTGGAATCGGTGGGACCCTTATCTAAGTTTCTCGTGCATCTTTTAATTGCGATGCAATTGATTGCATTGTTATTCTGTTGATGCGTTGGTTTTTCTTTTTTGATATTCAGACAGTTAGAAAAGGTCCCATGAAGTTGCGATTTCGAAAGCAAAGCAAATTTATTTACCTATTATCATGTTTTTTTTTTTTACAAAGAAAAGCTGTTGTGTTCTGTAGGCGACAATTGCGATTTACTTTTCTTCTTTTAAAAAGTTTTTATGATAAAGAGGCTATTAGAAGTGTTCATTTTAAAAAACCTAAAGGCAGGTTTTATTTAAGATAATTTTCTTGAAATTATATAACAGGTCTATGAAAGAAAACTCTAAACTGACCTCATGTTATGTCGAAAGATGTGTTTTCTCTGTTCGTGTTCTGTAGGATCGTCGTAAGATTTGCTGTGTGTTCTCTTAAATTCCTCAAACATTTGCTCCACTTCCCCGTCTTCAAAGTTTTCATGCATAAATTCTGCCATGGGGTTAAAGTGGTATCTTGATTTCATCTTTTGAATCTTCTTTTTGCAGGAGGCTCCTTTTTGTTGAGAAAAATGTTAACAAATAAACATAAAAACAGGTGAAAGGAGGGGCTTCGTTAAAAGGAATGATAGGAGTCGAAACGTTTTTAGATGTCGTATCATCCTTATTGAGATTTCCACGTAGGTCCTGTTTGCGTGCAAAAGTTCTGAATTAGATCTGCCTGGATTAGTGTCTTCTTCGTGTACAATACAATGAGATATTTCTCTTAAGATCAGAAGAGGTATATATTCCAATCCTTATTACAGTGGCTTTAGTTAAGCCATTTATTTCTAAATTTCAGCTAAAATGGATGTCTGGCTCTTTGTATGTATCTTTGTTCTCTGTAAAAGTGTGCGGTATTGTTCTGCCGATGAGTTGGGATGTAACGGGGGGGGATGTAACATGAAACGGGGTGGGGAGGTCATTGCAGCAATAAATGAGGAAGGTCATCTCGGGCCGGATTCTTTCGTTTCGCTCAATTGAGCTTTCTGATTGGTTTACATTTCTCAGGCCATCCCCTCAATCAATCAGATCCAGAACTTAAACCAATCGCGGTTTGATTAAGCGCGTTTTCTTCTGCTTCCGCCATTTTGCTTGATTTTATGATTTGAATTTTTTTATGGGGTCCTTGAAGTTCTTACGTTTGATTCAATTGATTGTTGTGATTTCTTTGGTTTTGTGGTTTTTAATCCTTTAAATCCTTAGAGTGACTAGCATCTATTGTCTCCATACAGCAATACTGCTGAATTATGGCTTCAGATTATGAGAATAAAGAAAATGATCGCAAGCTCAAGGAGCTCCTGATTGTTAAACAAATTCTCCTTGTAAGAACCATAGGAATTGTTTGGAGAATTTGCATACCGATCTTAGTGTGTGAAAGGGTAATGGTAGTAAGAATGAAATCTTTGGAAGTAACCAAAGGAGGTTATCCCATTGGTCGGGTATCCCATTAGCCCTTGCCGTTATTATCGACGAGAAGGTGTCACACTGCATCGAATTCGAGTGCACGCTCTGGAAAGTCGACTGAATTTTAAACGGCTGTTTGTCCTTATTCAGGAGCACGAAAGGTGATTTGAACGGTTTTATGTATTCTTGTAACAGTTAAGTTGACTTTAGTAGTTTAGTACTTGAACTTGCTCTTCTCTAAATGGAAAAAAAACGCCTTTGTTATGAGTGGTATGCACGACTGAGTGGCTTTGTTTATGTGCTTTACTCTAACGCTTGATCGATATTTGCATGTTGTGCTATTATTGGTGGGTACTTCAGCATATTATTCCGCCTGGTGGTGCCTGAATAATGGCACTTTTCAATATTAGCGAAGGTCCCCTTAAGTCCCCAAATTTTGTAGGAATATGTGGCCGTTGAAAATTGCTTACATTGGCGCCAAAATTTTGACATCTTTCCTCGACTGGTGTATCACCCGGCCCGCTTTTGATCGATCAATAGCCTTTGCTACCTGTATTAAATGCCCCTTTTAGTACATCTGTGTAAAGGTTTGCTCCCGAATTAAGATTAGTATCTTGTGATGGAGTGTTTTCTTTATTTCTTTTGGTAACTCGAGTCGCTTGCCACGTTTTCAGAAGGCTGGCTTTTCACGGCGATTTTTCCTTTCGTCGGGTAACAACTGCAATATTACAATTTGAGACTTGTAAGTCTAGCCAGGGCATTTCTGGGATGTTTTCTCCTTCACATTCGTCATATGGTCGAATATCCGAAGCGGCAAGAGACCGATTTTCGACGCAATCGAATTCGAAGATTATAATCCCTGAACGTCTTCGATCTTTGCTTTCATCCTCTAGCTGTTTGGGTATATTGAAAGAATATCACATTGAGAAGCCTGGAAGTCTCGGACAACAAGCCAAATTGGAAAGTTTGATGTAAGTCTGACTATCCAAATCCAAGCAGTTGACATAAATTATTGGCGAACGCGAGAGCACTTCTCTGTTGATCTCAACTACCTCCATCTCGACTGAGTGATTACGTGACTAGAGCAAATTGATCATATAGTTCGAAGCGTCGAATTGTGGGATACCTGACTAATCCTCCTTTGAAGTAACCCAGCCCGTAAATATGTCATGCGCAGTGTATCTTTACTTACCTTTTGGGATTTTCATGACATCAAAGTCAAAGTCCCATTCATGAAAGGAGAGGTAATCCACCACGTAATGATCGTAAAATGAGTGCAAAAGAGTGTCATATCCGTGCATGACATAACGTACAGGCTTGTAAGGTTTGGCTTTTGTCACATACAATGTGTAGGTGTTGTTTTTCTTGTATACGGTGGCAGTACGTTGTAGCTTATACACAGGCATCCCACTGTGGATTTCCTGGCCTATGTACTGGAACAAGAGACGATGAAGATAAGGGACTCGACCTTACATCTAAGTTCTATTCTAAGGTAGTCCTTGTTAAGCTATTTCTAGACGGGAATTAAGAGTCAAGCTTCTCAGGAATTATGCTTCAGTTTGCAAGCGTGTTGTTCATAGGGGATGTATGCCCCAGATGGCTTGATTTTTGTCTCCTCCATTAAAAAATATTAAAAAAAATAAACTTCTCATCACGTTTTTAGAATTATACCGAGTACAAAATTTTATTAAATGTCCCAGAAATTCAAATACAGACGAAGCCGTTGAAAACAACTTCGTAACTTGGCCACTCAAACATGACGTCCCAGAATTCAAGCCCACAGGCGAGAACCAATACGGATGGTTCAAAAGCAGTCACCGTTTTGGTTATCGGGTGCTCTGTTTTCATCCAACTCGCCCTCGATACGGTTTCAGAGCAGCTATTTTCTGAGTCGAAGTTTATTACATCACAGGAAAGCGGCGAGGCCGCTAAGGAAGATTCAAAATACCGACGTCCGAGTATAGTAGCGTTCGTGGTCACAGGTTATAATTGCGGAGAAAAGAATAGTTTGGTTTCTGGTGTATATGTTATTTTAACGTTTGGATCAAGACCTAAGACCTAACTGCCCAATCACGCCGTTCCATTTGCCTAGGTGTGGCACTTGCAAATCTTCTAGCCTTCGTTACAATACTCTTGTTTCTCTTTTTGCAGAGTGTCTTTCCCTGATCATGCTTTAGAAGACATTTTCAGAAAAATACGGAACAGCAGGCATTATGAGGTATCAAGTAAACACTACATACATAACTGGGAATTATGTATGTTAGATAAAGAGACGCTTAGGTGTGTCGCTTGAGGGGTGGGGGAATGTGGGGAAGGTTTTTAGGATTATACTACGTCAAGAAAAACTAACAGCATATGACGAACTAAAACCTTGGCGTGCATTTTATTGCCAAGGCAAAGCTTAAATTTTTATTTTAAGGAACTCTAGGGTAATTTCATGTCCAGTTTGGAGGAATATGACCATATATGCTTGTCCCATAGATTTGCCTTATATGACAACAGCAACTGAGCCATAAACAAGACAAAGCGACAAAGATTTCTTAGTTTTCCAAAACGGGAGTCCCAAATGGGTAAAACATGCGGCATTCAACTCTCAACTAAGGTCTGGAAAATTGGTCAAAAGAATAGTATGTGGTTTCCATTTGGGCTGTGCCAAGAACGCTTCAGCATTTACCTTGAATTTTTTCAAGTTTTTAGGCATGACACTTTGACCCCTCTCTGGAGACCAACGAAATCCGGGCCTGTACCAGCAGCTCTGTGTGTTTTTGTCGAGATCATCTCCTTTCTTCCAGTGAGCTGGCACCAACTTAATCAAGGCCCCATACGGCATAAGGTCTCCTCTCTGAAATGTCTTGTCCATCCCTTTATGCATGGGGTAAAAAAAACCAAAAAAAAACCAACAGACATGAACGGTTTAAGAGGGGAAGGAATATTGTAGTACTGTCTGAGTAATGCAGAATCTAAACAAAAAATACGTAAATAATGAACGAGGTGGCTGACAAACTTCGGTGGATCCTAACGAAATATCCCATTTTTAAGATTTTTAACTGCGCTCTGAATACCGTAATTATTTTTTCTGTATTTTTTAAAAACGAGAACATCAACTGAAAATTCGTCTCTCTCGTAGCCCGTTACTTGCGGCTACAAGCCGCAATACTTTCCATCAGTACTAGCTGCGAAAAAGACTAAACGAAAACACATCATAAATCTGTGTCTCCTTTATGGCATTAAAAAATGTCACCGATGAGGATTTTATTCTATTTTTAAGGCGCATATTGCTCGCAAGAAATGGTTGAATAGACCAGTTCGGAACTCTGTTATTTTCAAAAATTTTTCAGCTGAATAACAGTCAATTCCCAAATGGTATTCACTTAACTGTGATGAAATTTTTCGAAAAACGCGAATAAACACTCAGAAAAAAAAGAATTTACTTATTTCGGGTGAAATATACCGGTACGCTGGGTCAATAAACAGTCTTAAATTGGCTCGCTGTGCATTTACTTTCTAATGTTATGGCGGACAAAGATGCTTGTTGACGGCTTTTTGTTTCGTCAGAGCCCAACGAAGTAAAGGCGCGACAGGCTTTTGTGCAACTTGCTGCCGAATTATCGATCAACAAATATTGCGCTCGGGAAAAAAACATCAAGAGCAGCACGAGGCATTATTATCAACAATGACGTATACGTGTTATTGGCCCTGAACTGAAAAGCTCCTATAAAAGTGGTCAATTAACCCATTAATCTATGTACGTTCAGTCTAGGATCCAAAAGTAAGGATCCTAAAAATTAGGGTTGACATCAAGTGCTATGGAAATGTCGTCTACATATTAACCTAATACTTTTTGTGTCAATATTTAAGAACAAATATAACCGGTTCAAATGATAAAACAATGGATCACCTGTTGGCATGTCATGTAAAACATCGTGGTGTGTCTTACCGTAGTAATAGTCGATGCGACTCATTTTATGTCGGCCACCGTACCATGCTTCGAACGGCTCAATGATCCCGTCATAAGGCAGGGAAATGATTCCCTGGGCATGGTAGAACTCGGGAAACGTGATCTTTTCTGGCAGGGATTCTTTTTCTCCTGGATGGTCATCTTGCAGTAGAGTTGCATTCTCGAACGCGATCACAGGTTCCAAAATATCCGTGAAGTCTTTGTCGGTTTCCTTCCGATCAGGGTCAAAATTGCTTTTCAGTTGGTGGATTTCTTCGAAAAAATAGTGCTGTCCATCTGTTCGGTGGTAAAATAAGACGATTGTGAATACAATCCAGAATACTGCAGCATTAGCAATGAAGTTTCCTTTACACATCGTACTTAAACACTTGAGTTATTGCATCCATAAGATTGGCGGCGAAAGTGATGTCATCCCTCAAAGCAGTTGAAAAACTGCCGGTGGGAATGGAAGTTGAGTGTTTTTTGTTGCTATCTCTGCTTAAAAGGCAATTATCGTAGGATATGAATCGTCAAGGAACCTGTTAGGAGCATTTACCAATACCATTTACCAATACCAGCTGGTACCAGCAATAAACACAGGCCACGAATTCGAAGGTCAGTTAGGCTCTAAACAGACGCCCCTGGGTGACCTTGTATCTAAGTGTCAGTAATGGCCTACATCGGATACAGGCTCTGCAGCTGATTCGACAGAACACAAAAATGAGAAATAATATACATTTTCCAAACTCCTGCGCACTCGACCTTTTAGACTACCATCAAAATGTGACTTACGCTTTATGTTCTATGCTCCAAAGTCGAGTCGATTTTGTTTGCAATTCTTAAGTCATAGAAGAAAACAGTGTTGGGTCATAGCAGGCATCAGACAGAGATGGTGTAAGATAAAAAGCAAAAAAGGATTGTAAGTTTTAGGCATGAAAAATTCACAGCATTGTGCAGATGAACGACAGATTACCATGGAGCTTATCGTGTTTATTTTTGGCATTAATTAATTTAACCCCTTAAACCCCAAGAGCGACTGGCTTCTAAATCCTCTTTACACCATCACCCTTGAATTAAATACAAAGGTCATGAGAATATAGAAAATGATCACCAATTTCAGAATCTCCAGACTGTAAATCAAATTCTCGTTGTCCGCACCTTAGGAAATGTATAGAGAATATGAATACTGGTTTTAAAATGTAAAGGGTTTAAGTGTGCTGAAAAGGGAGGTTTGTTGGATGTGTAAGTGGGGCTTTTGTCGATGATTATATTGGTACTAGAGGAAATTTTCGTTGTGCGCAGGCCTAAAGGACAATTTCCAATTTCTTGTTGATTTTCATTGATATACTTACTTGAGTAGCATTACCTATGACGGTTTTTAACTTCTAGAGCCTGAGATAAGCTCCAGAATGAATCACGAGAATTTCTGGATCTCGGTTTGTGTCCGAGGGAAACATCGGATAAAAACGGTTTCTGGAGCATACACCTCTTCTGATCTGATGTGGGTAATGTCAAAATAGGCAACCTTTCTATGAACCTGTGAGTTAAAATTGGGTTTGCCTGGAGTGCTTTTTGAGTGTCGTAAAACCAAAGCCAAAGTTGTCACAACAGCCAATCGGAGGAAAGGAAAATAACTTTAAAAGCCAATAAGATCTCCAAGTAAAAACAAGTCAACAGACCAAAGCGCGGGAACGCACGGGCGACCAAGTCATGATTGGTTTAACTTTTGTATTTGATTGGTTGAGAGGACGCCTTGTATTATCTGGACCAATCACAGAGCGACGTGAAGCAAAACCAATTCAATCCCGGAATTACTTTCAACACAATTGAAAATTTTTCTCTTAAACCAATGCACTTGCGAGTCAAATTTTGATAGTACCCTTTTATAGTATAACGTTATGGCTGTCTTTCTTCACTTGCTTGGAGAAAGTTTAGAAGTACTGAAGTATACATAGTTTGATGGCTGGCGCTTCTTACTCAAGAAAGACAATCTTTCAAATTGTTGATTATTTTCCGTGCGTTTCACATTGGTGAATCGATAATCTCCCTTGTTACTTAGTTGTGTCATGTTGTATTCGCGCAAACGTGGCAAACATCTGACATTTTTATGCCAACAAGGTCAGAGAAAATTCAGAAGGGTAAGTGATATGGGACTGCTGGTTTTTTTATCAAGGGAATTTTATTAATTACGACACGAGATTTCTCTTCAACAAATTGGCTGATTTTCGAATGTTGTGCTGCTTTTCCTCCCACGAGCTTAGATTTAGCGAGGCATTGTGATCGTAGCCATGGTTACGGTAACCTAATCAGACAGTCACATTCGGTCCGCGATACGCAAGGTCTGTAATCTGATCCTAGCCTCCTACTCTCAATTTTTATTCTTGTGTTACCATGTCGAACAATGAAGATGAACTATCATTTTAAATCATTTTTGTGTTGAACTGTCATGAGTGGTTCAATAGCTTTCAGCTTTACAGCCTTGGTCTCGGTCATTCGATAATCTAAAGTTGTCTTTTTTTTAGACAAGGGCTTCAGCGGCTGCTGTTGGTGAAATTGGCGGCTGTCCCAGAGGGGGCTGTAAAGCAAAACCTGGGCACTGGAGCCTGCTCGCACGCTCAACAGACAGCGGTTAGATGTAGACCGACAGTAACTTACTTTTATCGAGACCATGATTAGATCTTTGGGCCAGTAAAGGATCTCGGTTAGTCATTTCCGTATTTAACTCTTGCCTTCACTCGACCACCCCGGGTCTCCACTGTTTTGTTTATTGATCCGTAATCTTCGTCATTCTTAGCTTTCCTCATTGGTGCAGTTAAATTTCGTGTCAACATAGTGGTATCTCACTAACTAGACTTAAGTGCAGTTTCAGCTGCACAATGTTTCATTAGTTGTTAGATCTTACAGTATTCACTGCGACTATCGTTTAAAAAGACTTAGTTCATTCGACGACTGGTACCCACTCCATATATGGGATTGTTTGACAGTTGCTGTTCAAGTCATTAGGCCGTTGTTATTCCATGATGTAATACAGAGCCTTGATCACGTATAAACATGCTCGTTTGTCTCGTGAACGGGCTGGAAATAACTCACGTTCATCCCCATACCGCGCTCGAACGGTATCTCCGAAATACCGTATGACATGATTGGATGGAGCGTGTAAGGTGTGCTTTTAATACTCGACGTTCACTGGCGTGGTGGTTTTGTGAGAGACCATTGTCGAACCTGTCGATCTGTTAATTATAACGTTGAGGAGAGGTCGTCGTGTGGGATATGCCTCATGGAAGAGCGATTTGGGTTTGTTTCATGATCATCGGACTCTTGAAATACATCGGGACTACACCTGTTGAAAAACAGACGCAGGGTGGTAGCAAATCGAAACAAGAAGAGAAACCTGGTCCTGATCTACGAAGTTTGCATTTTCCCGCGGAGTATCATGCAACAGGTGTCTTGTCGCTTCCCACAAGCAACATTAACGAGCCTTTTGAAGTTTGGCATAGCCAGGCTTACGACAAGAGCCGAATAGATTACTACCATGGTAAGACAACGAGGTTCGGGTTACAATGACGTGCTTGTGATCTTGTGCTATAATTGTGCTGTGATAGTAATTATACTCTTAAAGGTACTGTATATACCTTTCGGTGGGATTTGGGTTGGTACCGGCATATTTTATCAAAACATCGAAAGATCAAGTGTTGTTTACTAGTTATTAAGTGAGTAATTCGATTGTTGACTGCGATAAGCTGTAGGGGAACTATCCATCTTCGTATACGTCACTTAGCGCAGAAACTAATTGTTGACAGCAAAATCATGTGCAGTCGTGGAACTATCCATTTTCAGATATGTCACTGAAATGAATGTCGCAGAAACTGTTACCAAACAGACCCCAATTTTTTACTTTTTCCTTCGAGTAAAGCTCATAGAAGTGAATCACTATTTATTAAAAAATACTATGCTACTTAAGAAAAAACTTCGTTGCTACGTTAGCAGTCGGTTTGGGGAAGAAAATTTCAGTTGCGTTTGAGGAGGTTGATGGTTTTCAGAATTTAGAAGGTTAAGTTGTCCTTGGAACGATTTCAGTTATTCTAGTACGATTAATGTTTGCAGAACTTTTTTTAGTGGGCTGAGAATTACCACGTATCTTCTATTTGGTTCTCAATGAAGAGATAAATAGAATTTGCTCATCAAAATGCACCTCGATCAAAATTCACTAAACGGTACCTGTAATTTTAAGATTGGAGATTGAGACCACATACAATTAAAAACCTGCACTAAAATAACAACTCCGGTAATTAGCCAGCAACATGTAAGGTTGTAGTCGCTCTAGAGATAGAAATGCTGAGCTTCGTCAACACTGACACGAGAGATATAAGGTAAACATAAATCCGTAATTTTTCTTTTTTTTATCAAAGCTGAATATACCCATTTTATATTACATCTCATTTAGTACGTGCGCTTGTGATTGGTCAATTTACTTCATTGTAGGGACCGCTAAATTCAAAATTTGTTGGAATTGAAATCTCCCCCCTCTATTTGAACCCAGAGATATAATGTAAATCATACTTACCTCGTTTTTCTCGGTCTGTACTGTAAAATATGGAACCTGGTTTTTTTCACTCGGATCTATGACCCGCACACTCTGCTCAAGGACCAGAAATCCGATACGAAAAATTTCGGTCCATAACTCACCGTACGGACCGAAAATTTGTAAGAGGTATTTCTTTCTCCTGAATCTTTTGTATGAAATTTTTTTTTGAACTCCCAAAGAGAAGTTTAAACTCTTCATAAACTTACTTTGTGTAGGGAAATGATGTTACTAAGCACTTTGATGCGTTCATAAATTGCGATCTGAGATTTACGAAACTGACTAACAGCTTACAGTGGCTAAGATCTTCATGGATGAGACATCTTTCTCCTGGGAGAGTTTTTTGTCTGCTTGGAGGCTCGAATTCCTGTCAAACCCCAATGAATGAAATGACCAATTTTCTGATGTAGGATGGCGTGGGAGGTGGAGTGGAGACGTGTAAGAGGAATGCTTTAGGGAAGGGAGGGAGGGGGACACGCTTGACTAAATTCGTTTGTAATATTTTTCTTTGATCGTTACTAGGTGAAGTGAAAACTTTTCAAAGAGGAGATTTAGGAAGAAATGGAATGTTCTTTAAAATCATCCCAAAGTTCTCTTACAAACGTCATAGGAATGATCGCCATTTTTTGGGATGTTGGAAGAGGTATGGGTCCAAGTCTCGCAAGGCTAAGGCCCAGTCTGTTCTACCGTGTAACACGGCCTGGCCGTTCAAGTCTCGTCTGGAAGACTTCAAGGTAATTGGTTAATTCTGTGTCAGAACCGTTTGTACAGACTGAGAAATCGTTAATTGTAATAGAGGCGGCACACTTGAGACTCGGCCCTAGATTTTTTTGGTGTCTTTTGTTCTAGCCATACCAGAATGTGTTAGGGGACGTGTTAGGGGGTATGTTAGGGTGTGACCATCCTTACACTACTCTTTTGACGATACAGTTTTAAGCGTTAGTCATTCCTCGCTTGTAGAAGTGCCTTTCGGGTTGTAATCGTTCTCTTAAAGCTGCTTTACGCCATCGATTGTGCAAACCTTTCAGGATTAATCTCTGCCCGACTTGGAACCAGGTATTTTTAGGAAGCAGAAAATGTTTTAGAATTGTATTTGATCTTGTTGTCTTTTAAAGCAGTGCTTGCCTGCTGTGTGACCAGACCAGAACCAAAATCCCATTATTAAGTGCCCCTTAATAGCTGGTTTCCTTCCCCAGTAGTGCTTTGCAGGGTTACCTTTACAAATTTCCAGTAGTCATTCACAAGTGTTGCCTGCCTTTAGCATCAGCACGATGGCCACGGTCAGATAAGATCTAGGCTGAGGATTCCTGATACAACGAAAACTCTTAGCCACGTGGGGCTTTATAAGGTCCCATCAATAGCGTAGCTCCACTTTCTGCGTATAAACACACACACAACCCACAATAGTCCTTTTTACTGTTGTGACCTTGGTGGCCAAGCCTTTGAACAGGAGTGAGGCTAAGGGTGACCTTGTTATGATAGAGATGTTGCTGCTTTTCAAATGCAAATTACATTGTTATCACGCTAACTAGATACTGGTCTCTATCACAACAGGGTCACCCTTAACCTCACTCCTGTTCAAAGGCTTGGCCACCAAGCCCACAGTTATAAAAAGGATTATTCCTCCATATGCTCTGACGAGGGGCTAGCGCTCGAAACGTCAGCTTTTTAACTATTTACGGTGGCCATTTTAAAATTTCAACGTGGTTGATAAAACCAAATTGCTCTATGACGTCACTAGGTGTTGTAGGCATGGAAGCCATAACTTCTCTTCAGCAGACAGTTAGTCCTCTTCGGGTGTTTATACACATAAGACCTTGGTCAGAGAACGCCAATAGTTGATTCTCTTAGAGTTGGTAACCATAACCTCAGGTTTTTGTCTCATTCTCAACCTTCCTCCTTTCACTTGTGGGCTTGTGGCCGGCATAAGCGGAGTTCCTTAGCAGACAATGTTCCCTCATTTCCCTATGACAAAATATCACGTCTTCTTTCATTTTCAGTATGAGGGTGATGCCGTTATCAATGGAACAAAATGTACCAAGTGGAGTTACAACGTGACCATATTTGAACGCAACAACTCGTACTTGTTTTATGCAACGAAGACCGACCCACCCAAACCTGTGTACTTCGAAATGAACGGCTACGATACACTGCTTGTGTCGTACTACGACAAGTATACGATTCATTATCACAGCTTTGAAGAGTGGGATTATGATCCGGATGATGA